TCAGATGTTATCAGAGTTTCCGTATAATTTTAACAAAAAAAAATAACCGGACTATGACAGAACCAAAGTAAAATCAAAATAAGTACGCTAAAAAAGAGAAACCTACATACGTTCAAGTAAGAAAAAGGATTACCTGAATCTGCTTTTCTTCCGCGCAGTTCAATTCACATTCTTCCACTAACCTCTCCATGCTCTATGAGTATTAAACATTCAGAGTGTAAGTTTCCTTGTAGTGTCAAATAGTAGCAACTCGATAAGGTTTCGATACGAGAATGATTTAAAAGCATGTAGGAAAAAGCATTTATTTCTACATACATGACAACCCAAGGATACTTATCGAAGGTAACTCTTCTATATCTACTTTTATTTCTATAAACGCTCTAAGCGGCGGCCATTGCTTCTTTGCGTTGTTTTCGCATCAAGAGACGACGTTCACGTTCGAATTCCTGAAAAAGAGATGTCAAGACGAATAATAACTGAAAAGCACTGATCATAACGATGAAACTGATGTATACAGAGTATTACAGAAAACGAAACAAGAAGCAATGAGAAAATATGACCAAAAAAAAGAACTGAAAAAAATTAAACGATACTCGACAAACCTTGATACGCATGATATAGTCCTCATATTCGCACTTGTCCCATGCGACTCGCTGTGTATCGCATAAATGTCCTGCGAAAGGAGCGTTTTCTTTCTGAAAGAATAAATCAGTAGCTCGGATTAACTAACTAAAATAAGGGATTTTGAAATTACCTGACACTTAATAAGTGGGATCAGTAAATGCGCGCAGTAATCCCGTTGACCTGGCTTTAAATTATATTGGTTCATTTCCTCCCATGACACCTTCATCTCTCTAACCTAAAAAAGAAAATAATAGAGGCAATAGTTTTTGCGCCGGTGGCGTGCAAATGATAGCCAAAAACATTGCAAGAAAAAAACGACTATTTTTCGAAACACTGCCAAAAACTGGTCGCAAATGCCGGCACTTTATTCATATAAGCTAACAAGATAAGAAACTAAACTGCGCCGATTGACAAAAGTTTTAACCACATCTACTGCACAATCTGCAAATGTATAAGAAAGTTCTAGTTCAGGTTACTGCACCTTAGTGCAATAACTGAGTTGTTTTTTTGGTACAGTATGAAAATCAATCTAGCAAATTAGATAAACTGCAAGAGAGTTTAAAAATAATGATACGTGAAATCATAACAGAAACAATTCACTTTTCAAGAGTGCTTTATGATGCAGAAGCACATGAAAATTTACTAGAAATTATAAACAAAATTTCCTTGACCGTCGTCTATGCTGTTTCGCCCACGCTATTAAGTGACTACAAGTAAATCCTGGGGAAAGCTCTTCGGAGACTCGAAAGGATTAAAGGTGATTACGTCCTTAGTCTCAAAAGGTATGAATTCCCTTTTATGCGCACCTTTCTTGGCTTTGCAAAACCAGCTTGAGGATCAAATGTGGGCGGACGATCGACTCGCGGTGCAATCTCGGGTTTCGTGGTGCCCTCGATCGAAACGGACAATTTAGTCCCCATCGTTTGCCTGCAAATATACACTGATGTTGAAGCCAACAAGGCATGTGCCAAAAAGTAACCAATATCGAGAAAGAAATGTACAATTCTATCATAATTTGCAGATAGAAGGACGCAGAGAATGATAAGATTCAAAAAAGGCGTTTACATTCTAAGCAACTGATATGATAAAAGCTCAGTATCTCTACTGGCAGTCCTCTATTCCGTGCAAGGTTGCTCTAGCCAAAATCGAAACTCCTGAAAGCTAAAATGCCAGCAGACTTCGTTTCCACTCTCTTTTGACACTACCAAGTCGTACGCACTGCGATAAAGGATATTGGAAGTTTTGATTTTCAACAGTAAGTTCCCACACACGACTTCTGAAGTAGGTTAATTCCCACAATCTCCCGAAAAAATTATTGTAACTTCTTTAACTTTGAAAGAAATTATAAAAATTAGAGAATGCGCTAGCCT